CTAAATAGACTATTGATATTAATTTTGAAAAATTGTTGGTAATTTTAAGAAACAAAAGCCAAACATATTGTTTTTTTTTTTCGCTGTTATTTGTAAAAAAAAATAGTAAAAATTAATATTTCAACATGATAGTAGTCTATTGTATGATTATTTATGTGTAGAATATGTGGTTAAAATTTCAGAAGGATCGGCCCACGGGTTCTAAAGAAATCATCAAAACGTACCTTTGAGAAAAACGCGTTTAAAGTTTCTTTAAATACACAATAAAAAAAAAATTGCACACGACTCAGTTAGGTGATGACAAAAAAAAAGTTAAATAAAATAAAGTCAGCACACGACTCAATCGTGTTCTACACAGTATTCAGTATAGTACTGTACACGAATCCCAGCACAGTAACCAGTAATGTGCAGGAGATTAGTGATTCGTGTGCACACGCGAATAGTTGTTGTCAAGCACAATAACTAGTCATGTTCTGCACTCGAATAAGGTTTTCAGTAAAATTTAAAATTGAGTGTTAAAAAAACTATCAATACACTTTCAATTTTTTTAAGAATGTCTTGATCAAGCAAAAAAAATAAAATTTGTTTTATTGTTTTATCTATTTCTATAAAATATAAATCAATGATAACACACACTATTCAATAAAATTCAAAATTAATCTCTTTAAATATCATTCTCTAATTCAATACCAAACGCATTGTTGCGTACAATAATTAGAAAAAATTTTTTATGCAAATGTAATTTTTGGAAGTAAATAAATTGATAAAATTGATATACGAATTAATTGTTAAAATCTTGTACATAATACACAGATAGTAAAAAATGAGATTATAATAAAATGAAAAAAAAAAAAAAACAAGATTTAAAATGTCAAAAAAAAAAATCAAATTTTCGAAAATGACCAACTAGACTCAACCTTTAAATAAATTAAAAAATAAAAAATATTAATCCTAAAAAAATCATTTTCATTTCAATGATATTTTACTTCAGAAACTTGTATTTTTACCGTACAAAAATTTCTAATAATTACTGAGTGTGCAACGCCACCTAGATAAATTTTTACCGTGCAAAGAAATGAAATCTTCACTTGTAAAATTTTTAATCAAATATTTTGAAATAATTTAAACCCCTTGAGATATTTAAAAATTCTTAAATAATATTTTAAATTCCAACATTAAAATCAACAACTTTTAAAAAAATATAAAACACATTGTTATATAATAAAAAAAAAAAAATAATTACCTATCACCACATTGATGACAAGAATATTTTCCTTTCTTGACATCAATATTATCCGCCAACTTGCTAGGAATCTCCGGGGTAGAATACAAATTATGTTTGACTGGAAAAACAGCATCTTGCAGAGCCGTGTAATACTGTTGACCCCATTTGAAGGTCGATTTGGACTTCTTGATCCTCGGCACTGTTCTCGCAAACTCCGTCATTTTTCTTAACCTGTAAACCATTCCAATAAATCAATTACAATTTTATAACCTCAAAGAAAAAACTATTAATTAATCCTAAATTAAATTAAACCCACAATTGTTTGTCAAACAATTATAAAATTACCTCTTATATATTTCCGCGCAACTTAATATACTAACTTTGTTTTAATCAATAATTAATAACCTATAAATTATTATTAATTGTTGAAAACTCTTTTTATTCTATTGACTTCCGGACACTCAGTGCGTTGTTAATTTTTATGTTACCAAAATTGCTCATTGTAGAATGCAAAGACAGGTTAGAAATGTTCGTTCCAAACCAATCAGTGAAATGCAACCTACTGGCCAATGAATGCACTATTCCCGTGCCTTAATATATTTTCAACCAATCAGATAAATTTATGAACACACACTTGCAATTATTAATTTTACAAAATGTCATTATTAAAATTAATATTAATTTTTTTTCTCTAAAAAAAAATTAATTATTAAAAATAATTTTTTAAAGCTGTCAAAAAAAAAATAATTTTTTTTCTTACCTTGTAATTAATTATTTAATAATAAATTATTGAAGTTACTCCATTTGTCTAAAATAAAAAAATTCAATTAATAATTGAACAAATTTGAGGCAATAATTACAATAATAATAATTACCACGTTTGATAGTTGTAAACAATTGCAATAATACATTATTTTACTGGATAATTCTGAAGAAAACTTGTCAAAAAAATAAAATAATTGGTAAGTTGTTTGTTGTTTAATTTAATTAAAAAAAAAAAAATTGTTTTTTTTATTGAAAACAGTTTAGATACTTAAGTACTTGCCAAAGTACTCGGATCTTAGCGGTTATGACTACAAATACTTGTTTTCTTTTGCTTTAGCATTTTACTCGATAGAATGTAAAAGCCTCAACACATGTTATTGGTCGGTAACAAAGTTAACAATGTTGCGATCTTTACGCGCTCTTCCAGAAGTTACACTAACTATAATATAGGTTTATTTAATAATTTAAAAAATTTTAATTTAGTTTTTTTTTTGGGTTAAATTTTGTTAAAAAATTTTGTTTATTTTTTTTAATAATTTTATATAAAATTGAAATTTTTCATTTAAATAATTGGAAAAAATAAATTAATAGTTTAGTTACAACTGACAAATGAAAATAAACCTTAATAAGTTTGTAAGTTTGTCCTGTAGACGGCGCTAGTTTAAGTTCTAAGTTAAAAATGGTTATAGAGGGCGTAATGACGATTTCCGTGGCACCACACGTGTTTTTTTGGACAATAGTTGACTTCATGCGTTAAAACTATTTGCGAGAAATTGAAGATTTTTATTATAGAAGAAATGACATTGAAGAGTAATTAAATTATTGATATTATTGAAGAATTAAAGTGGTTGACAATGAATGAAGGAAGATGTGACGTTAAAGATGGATTAAAATGAAGTTAGCCGGGATCTAGAAATTTTTTATTAAAAAAAATATTACAAGGAAAATTTTCAGTTGTTTAAAAAACTTGAAAAACTGTAAGTACAATTTTTTTTAATTATTTTTTAGTTATGATTTAATAAATTAAGCGAAATTAAAAATGTCAGCTAATTTTATTATTATTAAAAATAGCTCTGTCACTTGACAATTTTTCAATTTTAATTCACAAACAAATTTGTTTGTTTGTTTGTTGACCGAAAAATGATTTTTAAAAAATTGTATTTTTTGTAATTTCTACATGTTAATTATCTATATTATTAAGAGAATAAGCAAAATTTTGTGGCGAGTATATAAATATGATAAAATGAGTTTTCATGATGAAGTTTGGTATCGTTGGAAAAGTCTTGACCTGGAGTTGTGCCTTTTCAAGGTTTCATATCATTCTCACCAATAGTTATTTTATGATGATAAGTATTTAGACTGCACTTAAAATTGCTTTATTTTTAGATACATAATTAAAAAATGACCTTATATCTTGTGAACTATTGTCATTTTTAAAGATATAAGCTCATTCTGATTTTACACTCATCAAGACCTTTCATTTGAGTACCCACATCAACTTTTCATATATTTTATATATTATATGTATGTATATATGAAAAATATATCAAAATGCATGTGGATACTCAAATAAAAGCTCTTGATGAGCGTAACATCAGGATGAGCTAATTTTTGTAAAAGTATCAATAATTAAGAAATGTATCTTGTGAAATATTGACATTTTTCAAGATATAAGCTCATTCTGATTTTACACTCATCAAGACCTTTCATTTGAGTACCCACATCAACTTTTCATATATTTTATATATTATATGTATGTATATATGAAAAATATATCAAAATGCATGTAGGTACTCAAATGAAAGCTCTTGATGAGCGTAACATCAGGATGAGCTTATATCTTTAAAAATATCAATAATTAGGAATTACCCTGTATCTTATCTACTACTGATTTTTTTAAAGATATAAGCTCATCCCAACATTACACTCATCGAGACCTTTCATTTGAGTACCCACATCATTTTTTCATATATTTTATATATTATATGTATGTATATATGAAAAATATATCAAAATGCATGTAGGTACTCAAATGAAAGCTCTTGATGAGCGTAACATCAGGATGAGCTTATATCTTTAAAAATATCAATAATTAGGAATTACCCTGTATCTTATCTACTACTGATTTTTTTAAAGATATAAGCTCATCCCAACATTACACTCATCGAGACCTTTCATTTGAGTACCCACATCAACTTTTCATATATTCATATATATTATATGGACAATATATGAAAATGCATGTGGGTACTCAAATGGAAGCTCTTGATGAGTGTAACATAATCAGGATGAGCTTATATTTGTAAAAATATTAATAATTAAGAAATGTATCTTGTGAAATATTGACATTTTTCAAGATATAAGCTCATTCTGATGTACCCACATCAATTTTTCATAAATTTATATATATTATATATATGTGTATATGAAAAATATATCAAAATGTATATGGGTACTTAAATGAAAGCTCTTGATAAGTGTAACATCGGGATGAGCTTATATCTTGAAAAACGTCAATAGTTAAGAAAGTGCAGTGCAATTTAACAAAATTCATCATTTAATGAAGCAAAATTTCATTTATCTATAGTTTACAAGGCACGGCAGTCACGTAGTGACTGCAAGGTTGCTATTTTTTTTTTTACCATGATTTGTTTGCTAAAAAAATTGTCAAATATCTGCTAAATTAATGACAGTCAAGTTAGCAGTCACTTAACCTTTTTCTAATTTTTTTTTTAACAAATAAATTTTTTTCCAAAACATTGTTTTTAAAAAATTGCATTTTTTATTTTTTTAAATTTCCACATGTCAATTATTTTTTCTTATATCGTTTTTGAAATAATTTATTTGTTAAAAAAGCTCTGAAAATTGTCAAAAATCTGCTAAATAAATTTTCATAAAGAAGACATAAATTGAAATTCATAGTTGATATTTTTTATTGATAATTAATTCAGGTATAATTTTTTTTTATATTAGTTCAATATTTTTCGAGGCGTTAAAATTATTTCAGTGATTAATTTTGCTTGTGAGGGCGCACTTTGGCTTTCTCACGAGCGCAGTGTGCATGGCTGTGATTTCGCAATGAGTTGAACACATTATTATTCAATTTAACGTCGAAGCCTCCGGTATCTCCGGTAGATATTCCAGGAGGGAATTCCAGAACTCTACAAGCATTTATTCTCGAGGACATCAGTATGTCGTGCTTCGTCACAATTTCAGAACCTGCGTTTGATTTCTTGTAGCCGCACCGTGGAATTGAGGCATATTCTTTCTCGATTTCCTGCAATTAATCAGTTTAATAAATAATCATTCAGATTTCCTTTATTATGCCAAAGCTAATTGCCAAATTGCAAGTTTTAAACACAAAAGAACAATAGTATTGTAAGTACAGATACAAACTTGAGCTATGGTACAATATTCGTAACTTAAATACGAAATGTAATAATTTTTATTTATTTATTTAGTAGATAATTATTTATTAATTTATGTAATGATAATATTGGTTTTATTTGTGTCACTTTTTACATAAGTGTTTTAACAAGTTCATTTGTTTATTTTTTTTTTTTTTTTTTGAGATAAGAAATGATACTAAAATCAGCAGACGTCGGAAAATTTTTTGTTTTTATTTTTATAACAATTTGATTATTATAAAAAAATTTGTATTAAAAAAATCCACGACTGTAAATTGAAAAAAAAAGTACGAGTAGAAATTTTTTTTTAATAATTTTTTTTAACAATGAATTTACAAAAAAAACAAAAAAATTTTTAATGAATTTATCAATTTTTTTTAGAAGTAAAATTATTATAAAAAAAAAAATTATATAAAAAATCTTACATGTGCTAATAAAAAAACATTAATAAAATGAAAATTTAATTAACCATCTGAATATTTTTTTATTGAAAAAAATTGTAACAAAAAATTTTCACATGTAGAAGATTTAAAAAATTATACTTGAATTTTTTTACTTGCAATTTAATTGCTGAAAAAAATACAAAAATTTTTTAAGGTCGACTAACTTCAGAATCATATTAATATCTTATTAATTATCATATTAGCTGTTAGCTGACAGTATCATATATATTTTTGACAGTAAAAAATCAATTAATATATTGTTCGAAAATATCTTCATGATGACTTACCACAAAATGATCTAGATCGCGATCTTCATCGATTTGCTTAACTATGTCAGGACAATTTGGACTCGTACGAAAGTTTGCGAATGATATACCAACTGTAAATATAATTTGTTGTTGAGATTAATTTATTATTAATTAAATAAAAAATAAATTTTCACTGCAAAGAAATAATTAATCTTTGACATTTAAAAAAAAAAAAGTTGACTTTCTTTTAAAAAATGTCTTATAAAAAAAGTCAATAAATAACTCAACATTTATAAATAATAGTTATGATTATAAAATAAAAATATACCTTTGGATCCTCGATTAAGTTTATCCTCAGTGCGTTTAAGCATCAAATCATACTCATCATTAAATTGATTTTGCAGTAATTGCGCAATAACTCTATCGCTATTGATATTGTCATCTTCAATATCAACGTCCTCGAAGGTTGCGTGATTTTCAGTAACTTTATCATCCGCATACTTTAAAAATTCACTGAAGCAAAAATTAATTATTAAATAATAAACTCAAATTTTTTTAAAAATTATTAATTTAAGTAAAAATTATAAAAACACTCGCAGGTTATAAGTAAAAATAAATTTAACATACTTTTCCAATTTCTTATGGAAAGACTGCTCGGCAGTTATTTGATTGAAGCTTACTGCTTCAGCTGGTGGAATGGGAGCCCAAGGAGATGCCATTACTTACTAATTAATAATTACAATAATAATTTTTAAAAATATTTATAATACAAATGAACACAGTGAGTTTCAAAATATGTGTATATAAATGGAGAGGTGATCTAAACAAAATAGTTAGGTTAAAATATAAATTTACTATACTGTTTACTACGCCGTCTACATTAACAATAACAATATTTACAACTACACAATCTTGAATGAATTGTGTACAAGTTGGTAAAGATACAGTAACATAGGATTTGATTTTACCAACAGGTATTTTATTTCAATTAAAATTTAATATTTTTAAGAAATAAATTATGGTAAAAAAAAAAAGTTGAGGTAGAAATTTAAAAAAAGAAATTTTTTTTAAATAAATTTTTGGAAAAAAAATTTGTTTTTGGAAAATAAAATTAAAAAATTGTCAAGTAACAGCTGACTTTAATGTGATATTTATTTATTTTATTATTATTAAATATAAAATTTTTCTTCATGGTTTGATTAAACATTTTAATTAGAGATTTAATTTAATTTGTTGCTTCGATTTCTCCCAAAAAAATTTGTTTGTCGCTTGAACCAGAGCACACTGTAACAAATAAAAAAATTAATTAATATTTATACTAGCAATTAGCAGTCACTACGTGACTGCAGATTTATGAATTCTGAATAAGAAAACTTTGGCTTAATTAATTTTTTATGTTTGTAATCATACTAGTAGTTTGGGTACTTTTTAAATAAATTTTAAAAATAATAGTGCTATCACAGGATCAATTTATGATAAGTATTTAGGCTGCATTTGAAAATTCTCTATTTCTAGATACATAATTAAGAAATGACCTTGTATCTTTTGAACTATCGACATTTTTAAAGATATAAGCTCACTCCGACATTACACTCATCGAGACCTTTCATTTTAGTACCTACATCAATTTTTCATATATATATTGTATATATATATATTGTATATATGTATATATGACAAATATATCAAAAATGCAAGTGGGTACTCAAATGAAAGCTCTTGTTGAGTGTAACGTCAGGATGAGCTTATATCTTAAAAAATGTCAATAATTAAGAAATTACGTTGTATCTTGTAAACTATTGACATTCTTCAAAATATAAGCTCACTCTGATGTCATACTCATCGAGACCTTTTATTTGAGTACCCACATCAATTTTTCATATATTTTATATATTTATATATATTGTATATATGTATATATGACAAATATATGAAAAATGCAAGTGGGTGCTCAAATGAAAGCTCTTGATGAGTGTAACATCGGGATGAGCTTATATCTTTATAAAACGTCAATATTTAAGAAAGTATAATGAAACATTGAAAAGGCATTAATTTAGATCTAAACTTTTCCAATGATACCAAATTCAATTTTATCATATAAATACACCGAAGAAAAAATTTTCTTATTCTCAATTATATAGATCATTTTTAAGTGTAAAAAATGAGATAAAATTTTTTTAAGCTACTAAATTTTTCAATAGTGAAAATGAAGAAATAATATTACTTAATCTTATTGCTACTTTAAAAAAAATTAATGATAAAAATTACCAATTGGTTCTTTGGGATGAAAATCAACAGTGTTAACACTCCCATTGTGTCCCGGTAACTTATAAAGAATCCTCCGGCTGGTGGTGTCCCAGATGTAGTGGAACCTGTCACTAGACCCAGCAGAGACTTTGCTGCCATCTGGAGACCAGGCACAACGCAATAAATTCTTCTCAAAATTATGCTGGTGTCCTGTAAAAATTTTAACACACCTCTCAAAAGGTGCGAACGGTCTGACGTCCCAAATACGAAGTGAGTTGTCCATAGAATTTGACAAGATATAAGACCCGTCGGGACTTAGTCTCAGTCCGGTTATTGAGTCAGTGTGTCCTTTTAATTTGTAAAGCACTGCGTCTTTTCTCAGATCCCAAATTTTAATGTCGTTGTCAATTCCACCGCTTATCACTTGCTCAGCTGTGTCATTAAATGTCACTGCAGTTACCTAAATTAATTAAATAATTTATTTATTGATGAATTAATTAATAAAAAAATACATTACCGGGTAAGAATTCTCGAGGGTCTTACACTGGCCCCGCTTACGCGGGTCCCATATTTTTACAGTGCAATCATCACTACCAGAGCACAATTGTGTAGGTCCTCGACGCGCTCCACCCACTGAATTTACAAACCCACTGTGTCCTTTTAATTTCTTGATCCTAGTACCGGCGATAAAGTCCCAGAGACCGAGAGTCATATCAGTACTTGCTGTGTAAACAAAGTTACCATCTGGACTGAAGTGAATTTCCATTACTGCTCCACTGTGGCCGGACATTGCACCGATATTTTCGCACTCTCCATAAACATTCCATATGTCTAAAAAATAAAATCAAAATTTTAATAAAAATAACAATAATAATAATAATAATAATTAAAAATTTAACAAAGTATTTAATAGTTAACTATAAAAAATACTTACAAATTTGACGATCAAAACCTGTAGAAATTAAATACTGTCCTTCTGGATGGAACTCCAAAGAAAATATGTCACCTTGATGTCCTTCCAGCAACATAATTGGAGAAGATAATGAGGATGTTCTTGGTGGTCCCTGAAAGTATATTAATATTTTAATTACTTTCTAATTATAATTTGTTAATTTTATTTAACAAGAAAGTTTTTTTAAAAAAATTATTTTTAAAAAATTGCATTTTTTATCTTTTTTCTAATTTTTTCATTTATTATAAATTATTTGTTATAAAATTATTAAATATATGCTAAATTAATTTTAATTATAAATTTGATAAATAATTAAATATAGGTTATAATTACACTTTGAATGACGGCTTTTTCCCGGCTGCTAAAAACAACTTCATTTTTTGTGCGTTTTGATGCTGGAACCAAAGCCAAAATCTCGTCACCACCTCCAGCTTTTCTTTTATCCGCTCCCGGCATTTTTATTAATTATTTATTTGTTATAATTATAATTATTTTTCACTTTAGTATAAATGTAAACTTGGGAGAAAACTTTTTTGTAAACACGACCAAACACAACGTTGATAGATCATAAATTTTAAGGCTATGTGCGCGCGCATACTTGAAAAAAATTCCTGTAGCTGGCGCTACTTGCTTTTTCTATCAGCGCGGTTATGATATTTTACTTTGGTGATGACCAAATTATTATAATTATTATTGTGATAGTGAAGTTAGCTGACAACTGTCAAATTTTTCAATTTTTATAACAAATCAATTTTAGTAAATAATAAAAGGCTTTTAAAAATTTATGACATTAAATAATTAAATTTAGCTGTCATTTGACAATTATTTAATTTTCTTTAACAAATAAATTTATTTTAAACTATTATTTTTAAAAAATTGCATTTTTTGTTTTTTATAAATTTCTGTCAAAAATATTTCCAAAGTGGTTGCACCTAATTTATTTATTTATCTATTTATAGATTTATTTATTTATTTATTTATAGCGTCATAAAAAAAAAATGTCGACTTTTTGATAGATTTCATTCAACAAGAAGTTGAAAAATTAATAATCGTCAACTTAAATTCAACAAAACATTAACAAAAAAAAAATTTGTACCGCTTGGGACGATAAAATAAAATTCCGGATTTTATAAAAAAAAAAAAAAAATAATCAAACTTTTGTTGACTAAACTTACAAAATAAGAAAATTTTATTGTAATTTTAATACAAATTTGCGGAATAGTAGACAAAATAATATTTTTAATTAAAATCGTCTTTTGTATTTTTACATACCCAATTTTGTAATATTACATTGTTTTTATCATTATTACCAATTATAATTGATAAAAATAGAAAAATGTTTTACCAAATATTTAGTATTAAATAAGTACAATTATCTTCACGAAAATTTACTTCAAAAACATTTTGGAGATTGTTAAAATCACTGATCGACATTATTGAACATACAAACGATATCATACTAATAGAAGAAGATAAGAAGTAATATAAAATTGCAGAACAATAGATTATTTATGTCATATCTTATTACAAATCTCAAATTATCTAGACATATTAATCATCATTTTATAAGACACTATACATTTGAAGAACTTAAAGATATCAATTCTATTTAACAATTGAATGTTCGTTGCTGCAGAAAAAAAATTTCAAATAATTTTCATCAAGTAAAATAAAACATTTTTACTTTTTTAATAAAAAAATTATAATAAAATGTTACATCTCCGTAAAATAGAAATTCCTGAAGAAAATTTAAAACTTGTAGAAGAAAATACCAATGTTTATGTAAATGATGAAGAAATAGGAAAAGGAACACTTTATGTAACTACTAAGTACGCTGCATAAAATTGATTTATCAATATGAATAATATAAATTTTCTGTATTATAATATAATATTGTACTATTTATTTGTATTGAAGAGAATTAGTATGGATCAATAATAGCATCCAGAAAGGTTTTTCCTTTGGATACTTTCAAATTCTTCTTCCTAATATCTCGCAAGACAAAGAAGAACATGAGCAATCCCTTAATATTATGGTCGATGTTGACATTAATCTTCTAGGTAAGAATTTTTAATTTTTTATTTAATAGATTAATATATTGTTGCTCTACTATCTTATTTAAATTATTAATTTTTTTTTAGAGCGTGTTTTCACTGAAGTGAAAATCACAGTTGACAATGCTGAAAATTTGAACAACTTGTTTCAAGTTGTATGTGAATGTCATGCTTCATTTAATAATATGTAGATGTTACGGAGAAGTATTGAATAATTTAACTGTATCAGCTAATTTATTTTTTTGTAAGTAATTCATGATAACTATTTGAATTTTTATTTCTTTAGTAAAGAAATAAAATTGTTTTAAATTTTAAACAAATTAATTTCTCATTGAGAATAAATTTTTTCTCTCAGAGTACTTAATTAAATTAGTATAATTAGTATAATTAAACTACTTACCAGTAATGGCTTCACCAGCTGTAAAATCCTGATTGAAACTGAAGTTGAAGAAATCCCTCATCATACTATCAATTTGCGATTCAAAGTATCTTGACATTTCCAAAGGATTTGTAAAGATTTGGAAGTGAAACCCATTTGGACCTTGGCTAAATCCTCTCGAATAACAATCAAAATTTTTATTTTAAATCTACTTAATTTCTATAAAATATATTTAAAAAAAAAATTTTTTTCTTCAATACTTCTTAAAACACTTCTTGTCATTAAAAAATGAAAGAAAAATATTTTTAAATTAAAATATTAAATTTATTTATGACAATAAAATCAGCACACTGATCATTTTTAAAATTTTTAGAGCAAATCAATTATTAAAAAAAAATTATTAGCAGAAATTTTTTTAAAAAACATTTTTTATTATTGTAATTGATTTGTTAAAAATGACAGTTGTCAGCTAACTTCAGTATCATAAACATTTAAACATTACTTTATTTTTTATTTATTACTCAATAAACTACTATCTATAATTACTACCTGTATTCATCAACATAGTCATCACCATCTTCCTCATCATTCTGCCAAATAGGATTTCGAAATTCGTTACCAGAGTGTTGACGATCATCAAATCTATAAAAATCAAAGTTGTTAAAAATTAATGCTAGAATATTTAAAAATTTATGTAATACTTCACTCAATATTTTATAAATTTTTTTTTTTTTTTCATAAATGCCAAAAATGATACTGACATCTGTCAATTTTTTGGATATTTAGAACAACCAGATTATTATGAAAAAATTTAAATAAAAAAATTCTACGTCTAAAAAATAAGATTTTAATTAAGTCACTTGATAATTTTTTAATTTTATTTAACAAAAAAATTTAATCTAAAAAATTATTTTTAAAAATTGCTACATGTCAATATTTTTCCATAGTTTTTGATCAAAAATTTTTTTTTACAATTAATTTGTAATAAAAATCAAACAATTGTCAGATATCTGTTCAGTTTCACAATCAAAACACAAAAATATAATTAATTTATTGGTTAATTGCTATTTTTAATTTTTAATCAATAATTAATAAATAAAAAAACTTTACCTCTGATTGTTGTGATCCTGTGTTAAGCTTCCACCGAATAAATTTTGGAATAAATCTCGAAAAAACGGCATTTTGCATTAAAAATGATGAAAATTTCCCAAAAATTATGTCATTAATCAGTGAACTAGTGAAATGTACTCAGTAACTACTATTATTATTATTATAAGTCTACCTTAACCTCGTGTGATTCAATTTATTCAAACAGCAGCCACAAATATGACTTTTAAAATCTTTAAGACATCATAAAGGTTATTTTTATGTATTGCGTCGCATTTACTTTAAATTACTAATTGACCAATAAAAAAAATCACTTTGTTTCATTTATTAAGATAGGTAAAATTATATTTTGACAGCTGATTAGGTAAAATAAAAAATTTACTGCAATATTTATTTTGTTTAGATGAAAAGTCGCCTTTAGAGCATTGTCAACGTCATTTGTTGACTTTGTTATTTATTTATCAAGAAGTAAATAATTAAAATGTGTGTTTAATAAATAATTTATATAAAATTAATTATTTTTAAATTAACAAGAAAATTTTAGAGTAAATAAATTATTAAATTATAAATAATAAAAAAAAATCAGATGTTTTTTCAACAAAAATTAGAATTTAGGTTAATTAAGAATTTGTGATAAATTTAATAAGATTATTTGGATATCAAATTTTAAAAAGTTAAATACTTGGTAAGTGTTCATAATTAAATTAATAATTTTATTATTATTATTGTTGTTTGTAATTAATATTTTTTGTTCACAGGAATACAGAGTGCAACTGAAAAATATTTAATGATTAAAATTCTTCAAGATATTTATAAAAGAGTAAATTATATTTAATCGAGACAATAAAGCAAATGATTAAGATTCATTATTTTTGGAGTAATAAATTGATGAAATATTTTTTTAACACAAATGTTGAGAAACTTCTTGTTAATGTTAAAAGTAAGTATTTTATTATTTATAAATGATATTGAAATTTGCAGACTCCTGTCAATTTTATAATTTTATTAATAAATAAATTTTTTTTTTAATCCTTTTTTTATTTACTGGTCAATGATTTTTCTACAAGTTACAGTGTGTTGAAAATCCCTAAAAAATTTGGATTTTTAATGAAAATTAATTTAGCAGATATTTAATAATTTTTAGAATCTTATTGACAAATAAATTATGGCAAAAAAAAAATGAAAAAAAAAATTGACACGGAGAAATTTTGAAAAATTAAAAATGCAATTTTTTTAAATAATTTTTTGGAACAATTTTGTTTGTTAAAAAAAATTAAAAAATGGTCAAGTGACTGTTAACTTAAATGTCATGGATTTTTATCTTGCTCCCTTAATTTTTGTGAGAAACTTGATACAATAAATTTTTATATTTGATCAAGATTTTTAGATACTTTAGGGAAGCAGTGCCACTTACTTCAGCTGAGAAAAAAATTTTCTCACCTTAAGAAAATTTTTCTCGAGAATATTTGATACCCTCATTATATTATTTTAGCGTGCAATTATATATATTGAATGAAAAAAAAATGATGAAATATTATTTGATCTTCCCAAGGGACATGGTAATCAATAAAAATATTAATGAAAATTAACTTCTATCTTTATATTTAATTTTTTGGTAACAAGAGGCTGAATTTTCTTAAAACAACAAGATTTTCTTGACTTAAATAAATTTTCTTGGATCAAGATACGTATTTGTGTTGAAAATCCCTAAAAAATTTGATTTTTAATGAAAATTAATTTAGCAGATATTTAATAATTTTTAGAATCTTATTGACAAATAAATTATGGCAAAAAAAAATGAAAAAAAAATTGACACGGAGAAATTTTGAAAAATTAAAAATGCAATTTTTTAAATAATTTTTGGAACAATTTTGTTTGTTAAAAAAACTTAAAAAATGGTCAAGTGACTGTTAACTTAAATGTCATGGATTTTTATCTTGCTCCCTTAATTTTTGTGAGAAACTCGATACAATAAATTTTTATATTTGATCAAGATTTTTAGATACTTTAGGGAAGCAGTGCCACTTACTTCAGCTGAGAAAAAAATTTTCTCACCTTAAGAAAATTTTTCTCGAGAATATTTGATACCCTCATTATATTATTTTAGCGTGCAATTATATATATTGAATGAAAAAAAAATGATGAAATATTATTTGATCTTCCCAAGGGACATGGTAATCAATAAAAATATTAATGAAAATTTACTTCTATCTTTATATTTAATTTTTTGGAACAAGAGGCTGAATTTTCTCAAAACAACAAGATTTTCTTGACTTAAATAAATTTTCTTGGATCAAGATACGTATTTCTTAAAGCAAGAAAATTAATTTTGTTCCTAAGTGAAATTTCTTGTCAGAAAATTTTTTTTTTCGCTCAAGAAAATAATTAATAAGTCAACCCTTTTTTTTTAAATTAAAAACCATTTTTCAAGTTGAAAATTTAATTTAATTTTAAAATTGTTAATCAACTTATCTAATCAAAAATAATTCATTTCAGGTCAAAGAAAAATAACTTTATGACAACTACTGAAGAACATGAAGTTGGATTACTAACCACTTAATTATTAAAAAATATTAAAAAAAAATGAATAATTTAACGGGCCAGTTCCGTAAGACAACATGGGATCCAATTTTAATAATCTCACAAATAATTGCCGTACAAACAGTAATGTATTTTTTCCTCGGCGTATGGATATGGATACTGACCACATTATTAGGAGAGACCAAGTCTCTGGACTATGCATTTCAATACAAAGAAATCCACGTGCGTGATCACGGTGGAAGATTAGTTATTGCTGTATTTGTAATAAATTCTTTAATCGGTTCATTGGCGCTGTGGTGGCTGGTGCAAAGAACGAAGCAATGCTTGGACTTTGCTTGCACAGCTCACTTGATCCATTTACTATTTTGTTGGATTTATAATTCAAGCTTTCCTACTACCTTCAGCTGGTGGTGTCTCAATATTGTTTCGACGACAATAATGTGCGTCTGTGGTGAATTTTTGTGTATGAAAACAGAGTTTAAAGCCATACCTCTGGGTATGAATAGTCAAAAAACAGCCTTGTAATTAATTATTATTTAAAATGCTTTTTTATTTTTTAAATGTTATTTATTTAATGCTAATTAATCTGTAAATTAAGAGTTTAATAAATTTTTATTAAATTAACTCACTTGTACATAATTTATCTATAATATTTTAGTTATTTTTTTTTACTAGGTAATTTACTTCAGCTTGAATTATTATTTATTTTATTTACATGGGATTAATTAGTGATGGTGGTCTTCTTTGTAGAATCTTAAGCCGCAGTAGCCACATGCGTGATTTCCAGGTTTATCCTAAATAAAATTGTTGATAATTTATTTAGAGTAATGTAATAATTAAAAAAAAAAAAAATTATAATTAAAACTTTAAAAATAGGGAGTGTAAGAAAATTTTTGGAATTTTTAAGATGTATTAATTGTGATAGAAAAAAATTTTTTTTTTAATTGTATTACTTATAATTTTTAATGTATGTTTTTTATTTTGAAATGTAAAATTTTTCTATACTAAATTTAACTTTTTTGACAATAATTTAGTTTAAATTAAAATTGAAAGACTTCTGATAATTTTTTTTTTAAATAAAATAGCAGTCACTACGTGACTGCTGTGAATGTATACTATGAAAAGTTAAAATTTTTGTTTATTAAATAATGACTTTTGTTAGATTATACTGTACTTTCTTAAATATTGACGTTTTTAAAGATATAAGCTCATCTTGATAATACACTCATCAAGAGCTTTCATTTGAGTACCCACATGAATTTTTATATATTTTTCATATATACATATATATAATATGTATAAATATATAAAATATATGAAAAATTGATGTGGGTACTCTAATAAAAGGTCTCGATGAGTGTAACTTCAGGAAGAGCTTATATCATTAAAAATGTCAATGGTTGGCAAAATACAAAGTAATTTCTTAATTATCGATATTTTTAAAAATGTAAGCTCATCCCGATGTTACACTCATCGAGAGCTTTCAATTGAGTACCCACATGACATTTTTTATATATTTTATTTATATGGTATTTGTGGAATATATAAATATATAAAATATATCAAAAATTGATGTGGGTAATCAAATGAAAGGTCTTGATGACTGTAACGTCAGAATGAGCTTATATCTTTAAAAATGTCAACGGTTCACTAAATACAAAGTCATTTCTTAATTATTGATATTTTTAAAGATGTAAGCTCATCCCGAGAGTACTCAAATGAAAGGTCTCGATGAGTGTAACATCAGAGTGAGCTTATATCTTTAAAAAATCTCAATATTTCACAAGATACAAGGTCATTTCTTTATTATGTATCTAAATATAGGGAATTTTTGAATGCAACGTAAATATTAAAACTATAGAATTATTGAAAAATTACCAAATTAATATAAACTTTGGGATGCCCTAATGGTCCACCACCTCCATCACAAGCGACAACACGATCAGGTTTTGGCTCAGGTGGAATATCATCAATTAAATTGATCGCCCAGTTTTCATTAACCTCCTTGGGCCTGTCAACAAATCGCACCAATCTTCTATCTTCAGGATCGAATTTCTAGAATAAACATTTCTTTATTATTGTGAAAAAAAAAATAAAAGGTTGAAACTGACGTAACCAAAAAAATATACAAATTGGTTTTTGATGAAAAAAAAAAATAACTTACCTGTCCTGTGTGAGTAACAGCGTCTTTGGGTTCCCACGAAGCATTACTACGAGTAATTACACATGAAATTGGTAATTTTGTTTTTAAAAATTTATTTGAGTTACTTAAAAAACAACAGACTTGTTTTCCTGCCATTTTTGCTCTGTTTTGCTCCAACTATTTTCTGGTGATCTAGAACTGCGACATCTACAATTATTTGTATATTTAGTTGGTAAGATAGAAGTTGATAAAGAAAAAAAAAAAAAAGAAATGCCAGGATTCAAAAAATTATAATCAGTTCTGAAAATTCAACGGCTGACTAGAAAGAACTTGAAATAAAAAAAAAAATCATAATAATAATAATGACACTGAAGTTGACAGTCATTAAAAATTTTTTTAGAGTTTTATAGCATTTAAATTAATATAAAAAAAAATTTAATTAAAAAATTCCACATTCCTATAAAAATTAATAAGAATTAAGTACGCATATAAGTAAGTGAAAATATTTAGAAGCATTTTTTTATTATAAAAATTTTTTAAATTGACAACTGACAGCTAACTTCTGTGTTATTAATAATAATTATAATTACTTGATAAAAACTCACTAGTTATTTATTTAGAATTGTTTTTCTCCAATTTTTTTTAACCAAAAAGTTGTGAAAAAAAAATTTTTTAATTTTTTATTTCTTCAGCTAAGTAATAAATTTTTCAATAAATAATTTGTTTGTAAAACTAAATTTATCAAACATCTAACAATTTTTTCATTTTTATAACAAATGAATTATAACAAAAAAAATTTAGTAAAAAAATGCCATAGCAGGTGCACCTGCAGAAGTTTAGAAAAATTATGCAAATTTTTTTTTATATAATAATTAATTTGTTATAAAAATAAAAAAAATAGTCTGTAAATTTCAGTATTATAATTTCTTATTAAATTGCTAATTATTTTTCAAATAAATTTATTTTTCAATATTTTCCATATAAACATTTAATTATAATTATTATTAAATTATAGTGATTGCTCAATTTTAAAACAGACAATAATTATCCTTTAATCTGAAAATTTATTAATAATTATTATAGATTTAATTAATTATTAAAATAAATTAGTCAATACTATTGATAACAATGTCAATATAAAGTATTGAACGTCATTCCATATGTAACAATTTATAAATGGTATTAATTCGCTTGAGCTTAAAGGTGATTACGTAAAGTACAATAAATTGCCCATTAAACACATTTTATATATGTATATATTTTTAGCATAGAAGAAAAGAAGAAAATGATTACCCAAGGGAAATTACTAATAACACTTTTAAGTATTCCTGGACTCATCACACATATATATATATATATATATAGAACAATAAGGGTGGATAATGTTCATTGGTATCTATTGGTTCCGGAACAAAAAGCTAAAAGGAGACATAAAAGTTATCTCGGATATGATACACGTTCACCCTCGTGGGTTCTGCGTGATATTTCTTCTTTCGCTATAATAAAACACTACTCAATCTCATATAACTCAGTCACACTGTGTTCTAACTCAATTCTCTAAAATATCTGAGTATTTATTTTAATGTTAATATTTATATTTCAATGGGAAGATATAATTTTAATTATGTCTATAGATCAAAAATAGCAAAAATAAAATGTATACCTCGGATAATTTCTAATGATAGAAATTATGTAAAATATTAATTAATTTTCAAGGATTAATGATTTTTTTAAAATTACCATTTTTTACATACAATGTTAAGCGCACATAGATCATACAAGGGAATAAAGTTTACTTAAAATAACAGCAAAATCCCAGGGAGTATGCACAAATTAATTTTCATTATTTTTGACATTATTTTTTTTTACATACAAGCTTTTAATTTCAAGATTTTAATCATAAATATTGGGTAATTCTTAATATAGTTATTCGGCTGAAAATTATAGATAAAAATAAAGGAATAATTTTAGATAATGATCTATACAATTAAGAGAATAAAGGTAATTTTGTCTTCATACAGTAGTAACTAAAAAATAATATACTGAATATTTTTTAAATATATTTGTAATGATTTTATTTTTTATAGAAAATTTTGAATAGATAAGTCTAGAAAATGTAAAAAGAAATAATAATAAGAAAATAATTTTTTACGCTTTTTCATTGATACGTTATCAAAAAGCATCAACAACATTCATACCACTTTTTCATCCTATAAAAATAATAATTCTCCATAAATCGAACCGCCCAGATTTTTCTTGAAAGTCCATATCTATAAGTTACAAAAAAGGGGGTTGATTTATGATCCTATTTTTTGTCTAGATATATTTATTAAATTCACTTTGAGGTTTATTTCTTCCATATTTCATCACTTTGATTTTAAAAGATTTCTAAAACTCATTCTCTATCCAATTTATAAAAAATTAGTCACCCTGAACTTAAGAACCTCCAGAAAAAAAAAATATAAATTATTACACAAAAAAAAAATAATTCTTAAGAAGATAAAAAAAATTTTTTTATTTAAAAAAAATTTATGAAAACAATAATTACCAGAATAATTTTTTTTTAGGTAAAAATAAAATTTTTTTTTTGTGTAGTATATTAAAAAAAACTTAAAATAAACATCAATCGAATCAATAAACATTTCTTACCCGTTATATCTTTTATTTTTAGACATAACATGCCCTACTTCTATTTGGACACTTGAAAAGATAAATATCTCGTTACATCTTGAATTTCTTCTTATGAAATAACTCCTTACTTAAATAGATAGTTATTTCAATAAATATTTACATATTATTTCTATCAACCATAATAAATTATATTAACTCATTTATGGATCTGTATTATTATTCAAAACATATATGTGCGGTTGTTTCATGCAAATTACTGTTCCATAATTTAATATTATCGAACACATATAAATAATTGATTTTCATATCCGCTATTCATGGATATTCATTCATAATTCTTCTTCAATAGCCGTAATAGATTATTTAATTTAACGCATCCATTAATTGTTAATTATATTCTTCCTTCACTATTCAAAATTTTCGTAAATTAAGATTGAAAATTTAGATGTCTTGTATTTAAGTTAATAGAGCTTAAAATTGCAATAGTGAATTTTTATCCAGAATTGCTTTTTCTTCTCAAATATAGAAATTATTTTTTTAACAAGAAAGTTACGAAGAGAAGATAAAATAATAATGTTTAATTAATTATAAATGAAATAATTATAAGCAACCTTGCAGTCACTACGTGACTGCCGTGACTTGTGTTCAGTAAATAAATAAAATTTTGCTGCATTAAATAATGAATTTTGTTAAATTGCATTGTACTTTCTTAATTATTCAGGTTTTTGAAGATATAAGCTCATCCCGATGTTACACTGATCAAGAGCTTTCATTTGAGTACCCACATGTATTTTCATATATTTTTCATATATTCATATATATAGTATATAAAAATATATAAAATATATGAAAAATTAATGTAGGTACTCAAATAAAAGGTCTCGATAAGTGTAATGTTGGAGTAAGCCTATATCTTTAAAAATGTCAATATTTCACAAGATACAAGGTCATTTCTTAACTATTGACATTTTTTAAGATATAAACTCATCCCGATGTTACACTGATCAAGAGCTTTCATTTGAGTACCCACATGCATTTTCATATATTTTTCATATATACATATATATATTATATATAAATATATGAAAAATTGATGTGGGTACTCAAATGAAAGGTCTTGATGAGTGTATTTTCGAGGTGAGCTTGTATCTTTAAAAATGTCAATAGTTCATAAGATACAAAGTAATTTCTTAATTATCTACAGAAAAAATTAGTAATTTTTTTTTGTTATAAAAATTTCAAAAAATTGTTAGATGTTTGATAAATTCAGTTTTACAATAAATTTATTTATTTCTTACCTGAAGAAATAAAAATTTTTCTCACAATAACTTTTTTTTGGTAAAAAAGATTTTCCTTAATTTTTATCCAAAATTATTTTTTTCCCCAAAAAAATTACTGGAAGAAAATAAATTAATAATGATTAATTAATAAAAAATAAAGAAATGATTGGTGACTAATCCAAAAATCAATAATAAAATTAATAATGTCAAAAAAATAAACAATAAAATGAGAAAACGTGATGTATATGTGTCATGAGGGTTGATCGTCGCCGGGTTGTAAAGCTTGAAGGCCACGAGGGTGTTTATTCGAAGCTCGACTGAGTAAGGGTGAGGCTGTTCAGTGAGTTCGAGGGGATGAAGAAGCTTCATAAAGCGCCTGCGTAATTTTCACCACGTCCAAGTCACGTTCAACCACCCTCACTCTTACCTCCCATAAAATCACCCGTCAGGCTTTTACTTACCTACGATGTGTACACGGATATTGCATTAGTATGAAAGTTAACGTTCTTGCTGACGGACATACTGTTGAATAGCAGGTACAGTAAATATTATTACTCTTGTTAATGATATTAATCAAATAAAGTACACTCCCACGCAATAAAGTACACGCATAATAAAAAATCTGAAATTATAAAAAAAAAAATTAGTGATAAATTTTATAAATATTTTTTTGTGAATTTTAAATATAATTACCAAGTGATGACGTCAAGTGAAAATAAGACCGGATTATTTTTGTTGGGTAAATGTTTTTAAATACTTAACTGGATTACGCGGGTACGGGTATTGATGTGTTGTTTTAATAAAATGTCCTCGTTATTTTTATTTGTATTATTAGAAGCTACTTGTAATGCGTTTTAGTTTCTCGAGATCATTAATCACTCTAATTTATTATTACTTTGGTCATTTATTTTAATACAGTTTTATCGCCTGCTGGATAAAATTGTTATTGTTATAGTTATAAAAAAAAGAAGGTAACTTATATTTAGTTTTTTATTATTTTTACTTTATTATAATACCATATGGTACGACTTAATTTTTTTTTTATGATTAAAAATATTTATGATGCTTATTTTCACCTTTTTTATTATGTGAAGAATTATAAAGTTTGATTGATAAAATTTTTAGATAAGAAAATTTTTTAAATTTAAACTTTTTATCTCTAGAGATTTTATGAATTATTTTGTATAAAATTGTCTTTTTTAATTTATTTTAAACTAATAAAATTTACTAATTAAAATTATCTAAAAAATGATTATATTGTTGAGAGAGTAAGAAAAATTTTGTGTGTCATATGATAAAATCGGTTTTTTTAGTGAAATTTAGTGTCATTGAAAAGGTCTTGATTTTAAATTGTGCCTTTTTAAGGTTTCATATCATTCTTATCGATAGTCAATTTATTATGATATACTTAGGCTGCATTCGAAAATATTGTCTAGATATATAATTAAGAAATTACCTTGTATCTTGTGAAATATTGACATTTTTAAAGATATAAGCTCATTCTGATGTTACACTCATTGAAACCTTTCATTTGAGTACCCACATCAATTTTTTATATATTTTATATATTTATATATATGAATAGATAT